GAGTTCTCTTCCTCTCGATACACGCACCCGTCGCCGCTTGTCCTGGACGAGAGTCCTGCAGCGGAGACAGCCAATTGGTCATCCTTGGCGACTTTAACACACACTTTGGTCATAGCATTGGGCGACACGTTGGTGACTTGGTCTTCCCTACTAAGCACCCAGTGCCTGAGGCGCTTTGTGGGCTCCTCCACCGTCGGGCCCTGTGGCTTCCCTGTACTTTCTCCGACTGCCACCCGGGTCCTACTGCTACGCGGCTCCCACCAGGCGGAGGCCCTGGAGCTCGTCTGGATTATGTCTTGATCCCACAGCACTGGCATGTTGCTGCGGGGTCCTCGTGTGTGTTTACGGCCCTGGATTGGGGACATGCAGGGCCGTGTCGACCATTTCGCTCTGCGCGCGTGGGTCACCTTTCGTGGGGATGGTGTGCGCATTCCCCGTCAGCGCAGACCCGGCTATGATCGCGATGCTAGGCTCACAGAGACTGGCCGAGCTCGGCTGCAGGCGATCTTCGATTCGATGCCTGTGCAGCCATGGTCATTGGATGTCCATCGCCACTATGCAGCAGCACAGAAATATCTTGTTACCGCGCTCTCTACCGCTTTTCCCGCTGCCCGTGGCCGTTATCGGTCTTCCCACTTCAGCCCTTATACCTGGCAGCTGCGTCAACAAAGCGTTTGGCTGCGCCGCCAGATCGCATATGCCAATCGTGATGTGGCGCACTTCACGCTTCGGTGCGCATGGCTCGCTCTCAAAACTGGTGTCCGCATCCATTGCGCTGGTGTCGCACATTCCTTGCGCACGGGCCGCGCCCTCTTGGCTGTTGTTGAACACATTGGGGCACTACGTGGTACCAAGTCCACGCTCCGCCATGCTATACGTCAGGATGTGTCCGAACGTACTACCCAAGCTGCCAGTGAAGCCCCAGCCATTGGCACTGGTGCGGTGGTTTCGCGGCTTCAGTGCTTGGTTGGTCCCGCGGCTCGCAAAGCACGCGCACAAAGGGGTCTACCTGGCCTCACCCTCAAGGATGGCACGCCGGCCAGCACTCCGGCTGAAGTAGAGGCAGCCTGGGTGGCGCACTTTTCCTCCATTGAGGCCAGCTGCCAGCATGACCCCACCGTGTTGGCCAAAATGTGCCTGCAGACACAGGCCGGCCGAAACCTTGATGATATTGCAGTTCTACCCGAAGACCTTCCCACCTGCGCCGAACTTGAGAAGGCCTTTCGGGGCACAATGTTGCACAGGGCCATTGGGCTTGATGGCATTCCGGCAGAGGCACTTCATGCGGTACCGGGTCCCGCTGCTAGAGCCCTTTACGCCATCGTGCTCAAGTGTGCCATAAGGGTTGCTGAACCCTTGCAATTCAAGGGAGGATCCCTCTTCGCAGTCTGGAAATGAAAATCCTCCCCTGCTTTATGCACTTCATACAAAGGTATTCTTGTCTCCTCTGTTGTAGGCAAAGCATATCATGCCCTGCTCCGGTCCAAAAACGTCCCGGCGATCTCTGGGGTCATGTCCGCTGCAAATTGGTGGATTACCTAAGCACCCCGTGACACTTGCTGCACATGTGGTTCGGCTGTTTCAGTCCTGGCAGATCACCCAGGGAAACTCGTATGCTGTGCTTTTCTTGGACCTTCGCGAAGCCTTTTACCGCATTGAGCGTCCCATGGTGGTTGGCTTTCGCGGCACTGAGGAGGCCATTCTGCATTCTGTCGATCTGCCTGCGGGGACCTCGCATGATCTACGGAGGCACTTGCAATCAGATTCCCTTTTCCACCTGGCGGGTACGTCCCCTTGGCTTTCGGCTGCCACTTCTGAGGCGCTGCAGCACACCTGGTTCAGGTTCCAGCAAGGGTCTCTCCTCACAGAAACCGGCATAGGCACCAGGCCAGGTGACAACCTGGCAGACCTGATTTTCAGTTATGTCTTCGCCCAATGTGCTGCACCAGGTTCGTTCTCGAGTTGAAACCCAGGTCGGCACAACACAGCTCCCATGGCACGACTCAATGATGGACGCGCTTCAGCATGTGGTTGCCGAGCCAACGGCTCTTCTGCCTCTCTTGGATTGCACGTGGATGGAAGATTCTGCCCTAGTTCTCAGTTCATCCACTGCCGCTACTCTGGCGGACAAGCTGAGCCGAACAGCCGGAGCACTCCTGGACAGCTGCCTCGGAAGGGCGCTCCTTCCCAACTTGGACCGAGGCAAAACCGAAGCCATTCTGTCCCTTCGCGGGACGCACTCGCGAGCAGAAAGGGCGCGCCTGTTCCGAGATTCTCCGGCCACAGTCCCGGTAGACAGCGATCTTTGGCCGAGCGCTCGCATCCAGCTAGTACAGCTCTATAAACACCTCGGTGGCCATATACATCAAACGGGTGCCATGATCCGAGAGCTCAAACATCGAGCCGCCCTCGCTTGGACTGCCTTTAACAAACGCCGTAAGAAGGTGTTTGCCTCGCCACGGGTCTCTGCAGCCGATAAGGCTACGTTGTTTGACTCACTGGTGCTCTCGGTTTTGTTATACGGCGCCGGATGCCCTCTCGGAGCCTGAGACCAGTTGTCTGTGCAATGCATACCACAGGATGGTTTTTGCTATGCTCCGGCCACGACATAGTCATGAAGATGCTCAGTGTCTCGGCCCATGTCGTGCACTTGCTTTGATGGGCCTTCCCAGTGCAGACACACTGCTCCACATGGCACGCTTGCGACACCTCCAGTCGTGTGTTGCCGTAAAGTCGAGAGAGTTCTGGGCGCTAGCTTGAAGCGGCAAGAGGGTCTGTTCTATGGCTCATGGCCCTTTTGTGCCCGGACAGGCCAGCCTCGACATTGGACCGCGTTTGGGATGGTACCTGTAAACGCCTGCTCTGCAAAGCTCAGCAAAGAGCCGTCCGACGAGAGGCTTGGGATTCCGCTAAGAGCCACCATAGAGGGCTACTCTCCCGTCAACTCCGCCTCGCGGGTGGGGCCCTGGTCACCCCTTCCCAGAAGACTGGGACAAGCGTTACTGCTGTGGGCCCTGTGGGCGTACTTTCCCGAACCGACAAGCCTGGTCGGTGCACGCCTTCAAGACACACGGCTGGCGTGCCGTAGGGCGTGGCATCTTGGATGGCCGACAGTGTCAGTTCTGCTTCAAACACTTCAGCACCAATCTGAAGTTGTGCAGACACTTGGCTCATAGCACTGCCTGCCGACACCGCCTCCGAGCTGCTGGCTTTCATTGTCCAGCCGAGCCCGGACAGGGGAGAGTGTCTGGGCGGAAGATCCTGGAGCTTCGCAGGCGCCTGCCCTACAGGCGCAGGGCCCCGCACAGTCATTCAACAGTACCACTTACGACGAAGAAGACAGACCAGTAGCAGAAGTCCTGGATTGCTTTGCCCACATTGCACAAGACCCGTCCTTGACGGAGAAAGAGCTATGGCAATGCATCCGTATGGCCTTCGCATGCGTTTGTGCCTCCACACCTCGCCTTCGTCTCACCGCCACCGTCCTTCTGCAGAATCTTCCGGACACCACGACGGGCAACGATGCATTCATTGCTCGCCTCCAGCATATTCTTGAGTGGATTGTTGGCGCTGACCTGGTTGAATGGCTTGTGCCTACTCCTGCCTTCGGAGAGACAGAATTCCGCACTTTTAAAGATAGCGATCTCATCCTCAGCGCCCTGGAGATCGCCGATCTCCGCTTTGGGGGACGTCGACAGGGGCTCGGGTCCTCGCACCTCCATCGTGGTGGGGCCAGACTCTTGGTGCGCAGAGATTATGGAGTGTGAGCCCAACTCTGTTCCTTTCTGCTTTGCCGAATGTCTTGCACTCCTGGCAGACGGCACCACACCCTCCTTTCTTGAGGGTCCTCATGAGGATGTTGCCTTCTCCATCTGCCTTGGAGATTGGGTTGGATTTGCCCTTCGTCCCTGCATTTCCTCCCCTCTTAAATCCTACCGGAAGGCTTTGGACTTCGAGACGTTTGGGGGTGACCTCCTCCGCTTCGCCCTGCACCTTTGGTGCTGTGGCGTGCCGACTCGTGTCCTTTACAAACCTGCTGCGCGCCCTGCCATCTCGCCCCTTCCTGAGATCCGGTGCTTGAGGCGGCGGGACGCAGCAGGTTTCCACTCTTTGGAGTTCCCCTATTCCTTTTGATAGGTCATTTCCGTTTCACTTAATTACTGCATGCCAAGGGGCTGCAACCCGACGGAGTCTGTGCCCTAAAGACGTAAAAAGACGTGATGTATGTTTGCATGCGTGTGTGCACGTGTGTACGCATGCAAGTAAGATTACTTCTGTATGTGTGTATGTACGTATGTATGTATGTATGTATGCATGCATGCATGCATGGAGTCATGGATGCATGTATTTACGCGCGCGTGTGTGTGTGTGTGTGTGTTTGCTTGTTTTACGTTTGTGTGTGTGAGTGTGCGCATGTATGCTGATGTAATTTTTTTGTATGTATGTATGTATGTATGTATGTATGTATGTGTGCAGGTATATATGTTTGTTTGTTTGATTGGTTCTTGGTTTGTTTGTTGGTCGGTGCGGTTGTGCACGTCTTTGCTTGTTTGTTCGGTTGCGTGTATGTATGCATGTATGTACGTATGTATGTATGTACGTATGCGTACATGTATGTATGTCATGTATGTCCATGCATGCATGGATGGATGGATGGATGGATGTACGTATGTATGATATGTATGTGTGCATATATGCATTGATGTACGTATGTTATGTTATGCTATGCCATGTCATGTCATGTTATGTCGTGTTAAGTTAAGTTAAGTTAAGTTATGTTATGTTATGTTATGTTATGTTATGTTATGTTATGAGTTATGACGTATATGTATGCGCATGTAGAAGCGCTCGCAAAGAAACTTCCAGATCGCATGCCCCTTGACTTGAGCCGACCAAGGATCTCTGTGCATCCTCCTCCCTGGTGGATGGCAGCCTGTCGACTGCGCTGACTTGTGATTCGAGGCCAGGTGAATGGCTGAAAGATGGTTTCAGTCGCGGCCATGAGGTCTTCATGTCTCTGTTATGCTTCCTCTAGCGTGAAGGCCATGACATCCTGGCTCCTTCTGGGTCTGTTCCTGGTCGGGGCACACCGAGACTCTCAGCACTTTGCCGTTCAACTCGACGACGAAATCGAGGAGTCTCCACCTGCGAATCTTGCCCTTGAGTTGTTGAGTGAATAGTCTGAGTACTAGCTTAGCCTGAAGCCGATGCCGAGAGAGCGTTTGAGTGTGATTTCCCGTCCACTGGGGGAGTCTTTTGCTTGTGTTAAGGATTCTGGCTTCGCCTGAGAACGTCTCCAGCGTGTTGGCGTCCGTCAATGCAGCAGAGCCCGTGCGAGTGCATCTATTGGCAGGGGTGGCCTGGCCCTGCAAAATCGTAAGTAGTAACGCCTTACTGCGGATATGTACATATATATATATATATATGAAGCTTCAAGCTAGCACATAACTGGAGCCACGTCTAAATTTCGAGAGTTGACAAGCTTAAAGTTGACAGAGAGAATTCTGAGGTCTACCCGAGCGTTACATTTACTCTGCCACGCGGTGCCAATCTGGAGTTGCAGGGTGAGCCGGGCACGAAGATGGAGGAGTTGGTTGTGCATGGGGACTCTGAGGACGACGCCGAGACGGACGACGCCGAGACATCAAGGCAGGGCATGTTGAACACCATGGTCGTCGGTTTTTTGTAATTTCCTTCCGGATCCTGGCTACGCCCTATGCTAGGGTTGATCCGAAGCCCTCAGATCTCCTCTTCATTGAGCGATATGATAGTCGGTGTTATACTCCATGTACATGAATGAGATCAGCGTCATCACGGGTGCAGAGGGGTGTGCATCAGGGAATATCACGCAAGGCACTCCGCGAGCGTAGCTGCAACATCCAAGGACTGAGCTGACACTGAAAAGCCTCCAAGTGACGAGAGCAAGACTGCTGTTGCCACTGTATTCCTTGGCTTTGATAGATGTGCTAATGGAAGCACTGCACGACCCTGGCGGCGACCAAACGGAGGAAGAAGCCAACTCCAGAAAGCACAGTCGGTTCGCATCATACCTGATGGGTTCGTGGATGTGTTGCATCCCTTCTCTCACAATACAGAGATCGTTGCTGATGCCAATGCGTATGATGACCCTCTGTGGGAAACATGTCACAATCCTTAACTCCACCATCATGCTCACCGGCGGCATCGTCGACGGTACCGAGGGCTCCACATTCAAGAGTTATTACTTGTCTATTTCGAGGTCGCACCTTGGCAATACAGCGAAGGTAAACTTCCGCGTGGTCACCGAACGTGTGCTTGCCGTTGCAACTTAAGGACATTGGCTAACGTCACTCTGCGGGTGGAGGGCAATGCCAGCATCGTAGAGTCCAACATGACCGGGCAGTACTATTTAGGACTTCTCGGAAACCACAGCCGCGTTGAGAATTCACACTTCGGCGCATGTTACGGAAGCTGCGTGTCGATCCATTCCCGGCAATCTGCTCTCGTCGGCTACTCCATGCAGACCGCAGTGTCCGTTGGGGGCAATATCGATGGGATCAACTTGGAGATTCGTGACATGGAAATCTTCGATGTCTACACCCCGTTCCTCCAGTATGTTGACGAGGATGAAGGCCCCATGCTAAATCAACAGCACTTGAAGAGCTGCCAGTATTCCTTCCTGGTTTTAGTCTTCACCTGCTCCGGTATGTACTGCGTTAGCTGTTCCTGCTGGATCCCGTCCGATAACACTTTCCAGCTTGCTGAAAGAGAGAATCGCCCCACACATACCACATCTTGTGTCGCCGTGAGGGTCGGAGGCCTTGACTTTATCAACGTGTCACGCAGGTCTTGCAACGCTAGATGTGACCTTCACCATGGTGAAGTTTCGGAACGTCTGGGATGCTGCCGGGAGCCAAAAGTTGAGCAAGATAATTTTGCAACGTTTTTTTATCAAACCATAGACTTACAACCCCACCACCAAGGTGAAGATTGATGCGAGCCGGTGGAAGCTAACCATGCAACGCATCACCATGGAAGATGTCACGAATTCCGGCCTGACCCTGCAAAGCAGGAACGCGAGCGACCGTGGCACTGCTCAGCTTCGCGATGTTTCTATGCACAACATCATGGGCACCGGGCTTGTCATGGACTGGACGATTGTGAACATGACCGGCACGACCTGCAGAGACTGTAACATGGCAATGGCAGCCCATGCCTCTTCTCTGAACATGCGTGGGGTAGACATCCTGGGCAAGCACAAGCAATGCAACGGGATTGCTTTGAAGTCATCGCGTTTAGAAGCGCATGATGTGCGCATGACGAATCTGGCTGCTGGACTACTGCTGAAATCCTCGACCGTGCACTTGGAGGACGTCTTCATCACAGACAATGCTGCTTGCATGCCCACTCCACCCTAACGCGGCATCCCTAGCCCTAGCGTCGAGAGTCTGCGTGGCAAGCCCCGACTGCAGATGTTTAATCCCCATTCCAAGGTCTTTTTAGAGGTGGTCTCCGGTTACGTCCTATAACCCAAACCTCGGACTCAAAGAAACCTTCCACAAAAGACACCCGATCCTTGGTGCTTCGAGATTTGGACACTTGAGGCTTTGGGTGTCCTGCCGGTAAACACAACGGGCACCATCAGCGGACTGGTCTACTTCAACGATGCAGCAGACGAGCTGTGCGAATATCATGATGGCATTAAAGTTTGTCCCACTTTGGAGCACCGGAGCGCGGCTATGAAAGTGCACCACTCGAAAGCCCTGATGCTCTCCTTGCTTGCCTGTCTCGTCGCTACCATCTCGGCAGTCCAGGGTCTCAAGCTCCTCTACACCGAGAAGGCCTCAGCAGTCGAGTCTGTAAAAGGCGTACAAGCCCGATTAATTCGGCAGAGAGGGGCCTGAGTTTTATCATTTTTGAACTGAACAACTCTGTGAGGCACTCTCCCTGCGCATGTTCTTGTGGATGCTCGGTTGTGGCCTGTGGCCCGTGGTGATGATCGGAGCCGTGAATGTATTGTTGGTCATCCGGCGTGCAGTCCAAGAGCAGGAGGCGAAGCAGCGCGCGAACCTGGAGGAGTTCGTTGGTCCAGAGAAGAAAATGATGCTTGCTTTATGCATCGCACTGAAGTAGGTAGGGGGGGTCCTGCTTGTTCTGTTCCCTACGGTGCCCTGAGCACAGCTTAAGAGGTATTTTGCTTCGTCGCGGATGAATTAAATTTTGCAAGACCAGCAGGCGCTAAACAAGGCAAGCCAACTAGCACAGCATCGGTAACGACCAAGTCGCCGACAGCCAATTCAGCAGAAGCATCGGGCAGCGCCGGTGTGAATCTGCGGCAATCGAGACAAAGCACTCGCAACTCTCGTCATGCCGCCAACGCCGAGGATGTGGCGCCTCCTGTTCCTATTGATTTGGTCAGCGGGTGGTATACTTTACGTCTTCTTCGATGTCTTCCTCAATCGATGCTTGGTCAAGTTGGAGCATCTATAGAGGGTCTAGGCAGCTCCATGCAGAGGCACGCAGGGCGAAGGTGCAAGTCATTAACTGCAATGTGATGACACCGTTCCTAGTCCAAGGACACGGCTTGATGCTGACTGGCGATGCACGGCGCCGGAAAGAGCTCGATGAGAAGAAGGACTCTGCTTGTCTCGGAAGGGGTGGCATGCACTGAGTCTGCATTGAGCACAGGATCCGTAGCTTCACGAAGGTAAGGAGGGCAATCTCTTCTTTTTGCCAGGCTCGACTGAAAAAACGCCTGGACAACCAGAGCCTGCGGAGCAGAATGCAAAGCCTGCACCGCAAGCTCTTCGCGGCTCTGGATCGCCGTAAGGCTCACCTCCTGCATGGGAGCATTTCCTGATTTTATTTCCAGTGTATATAAACCTCATCCTATACAGAGTTGCACCGAGTTCGCAAAATCAAGCAGTGGTCAAGCTGCGCATGATTGGAATGTTTTCACCGTGTGGACAGGTCGATGCAGCAGAGATCTTCCAGGCGGAGTCTGTCTTCAAAAGGGGTCTGGGTCTCGTGCGTTTAAACCTACTCTATAATGGCCACTTATAAACCCTAAGAGCCTCGAGCCTAATGACTGCAAAGACCTAGACACTCTATACCTTGTCGAGCAGTGGAGTTGAGGCAAGGTGTTCGGCAGGGCATGCAGCTGTATACTTTTTGATCTTACATTGTAATTAATTCTACCAGGAGATGAAGGATTTGGCAGAGGAAGAGGCAAGCAACCTGGCTGGGTGGTTTGAGGACCAGCGCCAAGTGTACCAGGACATGGAGCAAAAGTGTGACAGAGATCCTTAAGCTGAAGCTTGCTGGTGTCATGGATGGTAGGGGTCTTCTTGGTTCGGTGTGTGTGTGGGGTATTGCTGGTGTGCGCAGGAGGACGACGGTGGTGCACGGATGGAGCAGCTGGAGAAGCGACCGGACACGGTTTTGGACATCTTTCTTGCGATTCCCCATTGGTCAAGCGACCGATGCGTTGACCAGCGTAGAAGAGTGCTAAACGCCCAGCCCAGGATTCCATCCCAAGATGGCGAGGCAGTGCAGCCACCCTTGGAAGAGCATTATTGCGACACGGAGGAGAGTGAAACCAAGCCGGAGGCGGCCCCTCTCATTCTCTCATTCTCTCTCACTCTCACTCTCCCTCTCTCTCTCTCTCTCTCTCTCTCTCTCTCTCTCTCTCATGCTCTCTCGCTCGTTGGCGAAACCCCCAAGCTTCAGCAACAGCAAAAGCAGCGCCCAGCTTCAACTCCCGAGCGAGCGCACATTTTTTCTTCGGTCCCGGAAACTTTACTGGAGCCCATATCCTGCGCTTCTTCAGCTTTGTTTCGGAGGGTGGAAAGAACAAGAAGTCGCCGGTGGATGCTTTGTGGACGTATGCGAGCTGGCTGCGGGCAGACTTCAAGGGGCAACTTGGATGTGATGATGTTTTTGGCTTGAGGTTGTCTTGGTGCGGAAGAGGAAGACGAAGATGACCGGAGT